AAACCACAATCCACCTGATCTCTGCCTCCTGAGTAGATAGGATTATAGGCATGAGCCACTGACGCCTGGCCTGAAATACAACTTTTAATTTAGGAACCTCCATTGAAGACCGGAAAGGACAGCGTCAGAGCCACTTGAAATAATCGACTTCTGAATTTCTCTCTGCCAAAGGATACCTTATTTACTTGCTCTTTTCCCCCACCAGATTGCTTGCGTATTCTGAAACTCTCTGGGCTCTCTTCAAACTCACAAAAATCCTTTGCTGCCTGCCTCAAAGGGGAAGCAGATTTTTAGGTTCATTATTACTTGTTTATTATTGCTTGTTCATTATTACAAGCTTTGTTATACTGACTGTACTAAAACCAGGAGAGAGGTGTTAACCATTCACCCATTCAGTACCATTTTCTTTCCTTGCCTTTCTCCTTCACTTTTTTTTTCCTCTTTATCCTTTTTGCTTTTTTTTGGCAGTACCTGGGACTTGAACTCAGGGCTTCATGTTTGCTAGGCAGGCACTCGACCACTTGAGCCACTCCACCAGCCCTGTTTTGTGTTATTTTCAAGATAGGATCTATCTATTTGCCCAGGCTGGCTTTGAACTTCAATCCTCCTGATCTCTGCCTCCTGAGTAGCTAGGATTACAGGCAAGAGCCATCAATAGCTGGCTTCTTTCTTTACTTTTTTCTTCCTCTCTCCCTCCCTTCCTTTCACAGTACTAGGGACTGAACCCAGAGCCTCATACTAGGCAAGTGCTGTCCTTTTTTTTCTGGGGCGGGGGTGAGGGGTAGTTACTGAGGTTTGAACTCAGAGCCTCAGAGCAGGCACTCTACCACTTGAGCCACTCTGCCAACCCTGTGTTTTCTTTTTTGAGGTAGGGTCTTGCTAACTTTTCTCCAGATGATCAATCTCCTGATCATCCAGTTTTCACCTGCAGCATAGATGGGATTATAGGTATGTACTATCACACCTAGCTTCTAGCCCCATTTCAGTATTTTTAAGAGTGTTATTTTGTTTTTTCTAAGAAAGTGAAACAAATACAAAGTAATAAGATATCATTTTAAAGAATAGTACTTTATTGAATAAGTTTTATTCACAGAAAAATAAACTTTAATCTACAACAAATGCCAGATTATACAGCAGAAAGCAAGTTTCTTAGTTTTCCATACTGATGGAAAGATTTCTACTAAATGAAGAAAAGAGCCTTAAAAGTATATTCACAAATATAGTACTCTGTCTCAAAACATTTCACATGACTATTCACAATACTAAGACAGTGACATAACAGTCAGTCATTCTGTCAGGTTAAGAATAACAGTGATGAAAATATGCAAAATCTAACAGAAATTACATTAAAGCCTTTTTTATATCAAATCAAAAATGCAAATTTGTTACTAAGTATAGACAAAATGATAAAATATACTTACATTGTAATGTTAAATAATGATACATGGTAAGTAATAAATGCCAAAAATCTGTATGCATATCTAAAAACTTCAGCCTTCAAAATAATCTTACCACCCAAACATTAATGCAGTATTGTTTAACTTGAAGATACATGTACTTAAGACTGTCCTATTGTATCAGTTATAAAGTATCATTTAATATGTAGTGAAAGTTAGGGCATAGTGGAAGGAACAGTTGAAAAACCAACCTTGAGAATTCCCAGAAAATATAGTTTGAAGTTTTTCACCTTCAAACTATGTCCCAGTCAGGGATCTGCAACTAACTAGTTATACAGTTTGGACAAATCACCTCTCTTTTGAGTCCCTTTTCCTCAACTCTAAAATAAGGAGCTCTGATATTCCATGACTCTATTATGTTGACAAAGAAATCCAAATCACATTAAATGTCTAAGAGTCTAATTAAAACTGATTTTTTAGGATGGGAATAACTCAACTGTTTCTGTTAGGAAAGCTCAACTGAATTTAATAAGAATAATTTTTTTTTTGGTAGGACCGGGGTTTGAACTTAGGGCTTTGGGTCTGCAAAGCAGCTGCCCTGTCACTTGAGCCACACTTCCACTCCATTTTGCTCTAGTTATTTTGGAGATGAGGTCTCAAGAACTATTTGCTCAGACTGGCCTGGAACCTAGTTCCTTCCATTCTCATCCTCCCAAGTAGCTGGAATTACAGGCATGAGCCACCAGCACCTGGCTAAATTTAAGTTTTTTAAAAAAGAATTTAAATATTTCTAAGGGTTTGACCTTTTTATTTACTGTAATTTACATCCTCATAATGAGAGACATCCAAAAAAGATAAAAGTAACTGACAGAGTTATCATGTAATAATTTCTTCTCAGTTTTAGCCCAAATTTCTAAGTCAAGGAAAACCCATAGAGGGACAGGTCAGGAATGAACATTTACGGCAGGTGCTTTATAGATATGGTCTTCTTGAACTCCAAAATCTCAGAAGATAGGCATTATTCTCATCTCCTAGATGAAGAAATACTACCTTTAAAAAATCTGTGTCTGTCAAGTGTAACTTCTCTATTATTTCTTTAATGTCAATGACATTTCTCCCAACTCTTCCACCCTTTCCTCACTCAAACCTGGGTAAACAGAAAAAAAAGGACTTGAATCTAATGAGAACAATATATGCAACTAACGCTGAGGTTGTGGCAGTCTTCATTCAGAGTTCAAGATACAAATTTTATGCACTAAAATAAAACCAAAAACAAAAATTTAAATATAACAATAAAAACAACAAAATATCATACCCATAAGCCAAATCACATTATATCCCACTACGCTCACCACCTCACCTTGGCCCCTAACCAAAGGGAGGGGGAAAAACTCAAATCTCCCAGGTAAAGGTAAAACAAAGCCATTAATTAATAAGCTGCAATCTATTTTATAAATGCTAAATTCACTTCTCAAAAATTCAGACAAAGCTTTTGATCAGCACACTAAATTAGTACAAATAAGGCTAAGTATTTATTACAAAATAACTTCAATCTTCACACGACTAAATATAGTGAAATAATGGTGGTGACTTCAAAATCCTAGAGTGAACTTTATACAGCAAAGGAACATCAACATGTAAATACTAAAAACTATTGGGGGTAGAGATCTGGATCTGGTTATATATTTTTGACCTTGCAAGTGATCAATTTTTGCACAATTAGGTGGAAAAGATCTGGTGCTTTTTGTGTAATATGAATAAAGACAAGCTGGTAAGTCTCCAAAAATTTGATTAGAAGCTGGAGTGCTGAGTGATTTTAAGAACCTGAAGCAACAGCATTTCTAAACAATTCTTAAAATAAACTTGTTAACCACATCAGCTTCATGCATTAAATTTCACAACTCATGGAGACAAAAAAAAAGGTCTTGTTTAACTCAACACACAAGTTTTAAAAGAAGAGTTTAAATGAACTGAGAGGCTTCCAGAACAGAAAAAGTCCATGTAACAATAATTCAGTCCTTGAGTTCTGGGCTAGAAGTAGATTGGACTACCTACATGACTTGGAGCTGAAGTGTCCTTGAAAACATACTGAAAAAATTTTAACACTTTTCTTCCCATTGTAGAAACTTTAAATGCAAATTTAAATTTAAAGTTTACTTTAAACAGATCAGATCCAACTTAATAACTATATAACCAAACCTAAGTAGAAGAAATTATAAAGGAGAACTGAAGGTTTGCACAATAAAACAAAAAAATAGGGCAGTCATTACTTAATTTTTAAAATTCCTATTTAAATTTGCAGTGCTTTAAATGAGTATCAATTAACACAGTAGTCAACAGAGGTTATAAGAACGTAACAATACTCTTTCTCTTAGAAAACAAAACCAAAATATAATTTGTAACAGTTTCACCTCAAACTGTTGTCTACAATAAAATGCCCCTCTTGGCTCAACAATAGGTCTGTCATGAGAATCTTTTAATGTAAATCCTGGGTGTACCAGTTTATCCATATTGACTCTTACTCAAGTTCTTAAAATAGTAAAGCAACTAGCATTCTCTTATCAGTATTTTATAATTTCCAAGAGGTTTTAAGGATCTTGAGAGAACAACTTTTTAACAAGTATCTGCTACTATTACCAGTCCAAAACACAAGAAAATTTAGATAAAGACTTAACACTTTGTCCTATATACATCTTAATCATCCGAACAGTAAAAACCCACACATGAAACTTTAAGATACAAGATGATATGAGAATCTCAACATGGAAAGCTGTCACTATAGCTACAAGCAATGTACAAACATGCTACTACTTTTACCTACATAAGCAGACAGATGTTTAAAATACTGGGTTAACAAAGATCTTTTAGTAAAGTGACTTAGGCAGGCTTAAACTAGCAAGGATTAAGGATGAATCCTTGCTAATTAATTGGAAGATCTGAGACATATTTTATATTTCATTTTACAAAATCAGAAATATTTATTTTGAAACAAGATAAGACATGGTCTACCTGTCAGAAAACTACCACTCAGAAATATTTTTCATCCACAAAGCAGGTAAAACATAAAAACATTTAAATTTCACATTGGCACCAAAAAAGGTTAACTGCCCTGACTTCTTGGATTAGAAAAACTAAAACTGAGCAATAAGTAGTTTTGCAGGCGTTTGAACATGCCTAAGCCTTTAAATCAGTAAAATACTTTATAAAAATTCTGATTACAAAAGTAATACATACTTATATAAAACCCAAACAGAACAAAATGAAAAAAAAATGTGAAGAGCCCCTGTAAGCCCCTCTGGGACCCAACCCCCCACCCCTAAGAAAAACCACGTTTAACAGTTTGGTGTATATCTTTCCAAATCTTTGTTCTATAAAGATACAAAATACACACACCTTGATTTGGCTCACACTATACATAGCGTTTTGCCACTTGCATTTTATACTTAATACATCTTTGACATCTTTCTGTGTCAGTACATGTTGGCTAGGTGGTAGTCTATCATTTTAGAAATGGCAAAATCACTTAAAAAATCATTCACACAAGTGTTTATAATTTCAAAAGAAAATGGACAGAATCCTGAAACACAAGGACAAACATCTAAAAATAATCTCTATCTTTCCACCAGTGTGGAACAGTTCATTCCTTTTTCACACAAAACAAATTATGTGATTGGGGAGATTAACTCTCATCTCCACGTTTATACAGAATGCTGCATTTGTCGAGCCTATCTGAAAGGAGTAAAATATTCCGATGATCAATTCACTCATACATAAAATCTAAGTCAGTATACGACAGATACACATTGTCATCAGCTATAATAAAATGCATCTTAGTCTATGGTTTCAATTGAATAACAAAAAATTGGATAAATGATACAGCTAATAACCTGAAAAATCCAGAAATTCAAAGTTTAGATTGCCAACTAAAACACTGCCGTTTACATTTTGTCCCACTTGGTAGCAAATGCTAATGGTATTCAATGTTGATTACTCAAAGTTCCTTCACATCACACATTCAATCAAGGTAATAAGAAGAACATAACATGCCTACTGTGGTGTTAGATTAAGACATAAAAATTTTTTGCTTGAAAGTAATGACTGTGTAGCACATGGGACATTTGTTAACTGCTTCAGCACATTGTTTACAAGTGACCAGATGTCCACAAGGAATAAAAACTACAGCAATATTTCTATCCATACAGATTTTGCAAAGCTTCTCCTCTTGCAGGCGCCTTAGCTGCTCTTCAGTACTAATCTCTGCATGAAGAGAAAAGAAATATACTAGTTTTAGACTTCCTTAGTTTTGTTTAAATTACTGAAACATTTATTGAACCCCTACTGTGTGCCAGATACTCAAGTGCTGGCAGATACAACATGACTAACACGCAGCGTGTGTTCTTAAATAGCTTGCACGCTAGTGGGAGAGGATGAGATGAGGCTACAGAGGTAAGCACAAAGTACAAAGTGATAAGTGCCATAATAAAGTTACTTAAAGTGCTCTGGGACAAGATGAACAAGTTCTTCTGTTTAGGCTTGTTGGGAAAGGCATCATGGGAGGAGGGAGGTGGCCAATGGAACAGTGACATTGAAACATGGGCATTGGAAAAGAAAGGGTTAGGTAAAAGTAGCAGCATATGGAAAGGGCATGGCTAATTCCAGAATGGGATGGATTTGAAGGATACTTCTGCAGTGGGACAAGTAAGATTTGGTGTTCGAATGTAATGGTTGAGGAAGAAATAAAGTTGATTTCAATACTGCTAGCTAGGCTGACAAGGAGATGGTCATAACTACAGGAAATATAAAAGGGGGTACAAGTTTGGGATTCTCAGGTATTTTTGTGGTATTTATGCAGGACATCCATATAAAAACATCTGGTAAGCAATTGGAGAGTCAAACTTGAAGTAAGAGCTAGAGAAAGAGATTTGGGTGTCATCAACATATAAGTGATACAGAAGTACCTGCATAGTTTAGCCTTTCCCAAAATATGTTTTACAAAATGCTAACCATTATGCCACAAAAGTGTTTCGTGGTCATATATAATTATAATAACAGCAACAGCAGCAGTCAACAGCAACACAGCATAAATACTATGTGCTAGGCACTATTCCAAATGCATTACATATCTTAACTATCTTTGTAATCACTGTATACTAATGGTTTCCAAATCTGGTCTCAAATAAAAACTACTTGTGTGTTTTTTTCCCTTTGGCAGTGCTGGGATGGAACCCAGGGTCCTTTGCAGGCTAGGCAAGCACCCTACTACCATTGAGCCACATCCCTGGCCCCTGTGCCACTTTTCTGGGGGGGGAAGGGAGACTGGGCTTTGAATTCAGGGCTTTATGTTTCCAAAGTAGGCACTCTACCACTTGAGCCACACCCGTAATCCTTGTGCCACTTTTTAACAACATATTCCTGGGCCCTGTTCACTGAATTTTAAATATCTAGGGTTAGGCATACTGGCATTTAGGAATTATTGCTATTAAGTACAGTGCAATACTCTATAATGTATATCCGTATCTTGGAGATAATACAATGCATCTCCCTATTAACTATGGAGCTCCTTTTTCATGGCGTCCCTTTTAATGTTCTGGAGCATTATTCAGAAAACATGTTTGGGAAACAACAGTTTAATTTTACTCAACACATACTTATTGAAGACTTACCTAGGTTCTAGGTACTAGGTATACAATTAACAAATACATAGACTTCAAGCCCCCAATAGTCCACAGACAAGTCATGAACACAAGAAAACAGGAAATTGTAATATGCTACAATGACAAAGGTAATCACAATGTGTGTTATGAAGAGTATAGGAAGGGTATGTGAGCATGTGTGTGCATGCATGCACACATAAAGGAAGGCTTTCTGGAGGATATTACACCCAGATTGGGTCCTAAATATGAGTAGAAGAGACAGAAGACCTTGGAAATGAGGGACAATGGGAGAAGAATGACTCTGGGCAAAGGAAATGGCAGAAGCAAGCTCCAAGAGATAGAAACATGGCCTACAAGTATGCAGGTAAACCTGTCCATTCTACCTGATGGAAAAATAGCATGAGATGAGGCTACTGAAGGTTAGCAAGAGCCTGATCATGAAGGATTTGGTCAGTGAGGTAAGAAGAGTTTGGACTTAATCCTGAGGACACTTGACAGCTGGTAGTTGCTTTTAAAATGGAAAGAGATAAGGTCACATTTGTGTTTGAGAGGTTTCTCTGCCTAGAAGTTGGACAGAAGAATTATTTAATCCTCTTCTTAAAAAACAACCTTCAGGGTACAATAAATCTATGGGCTCTGGCCCAGGATATAGCTCAGTTGTACTGGCATGTGTAAGACAGTGTTTGATCCCCAACACCAAACCAAAATGAAGCTGTAGAGCTGTTTGCACAACTGTGTTAATGTATTTAACACTACCAAACTGTACACCTACAATGGTCATATGGTAATTTTTTGCTATTTTGTAGTGCTGAGATTGAACCCAGGGTCTCGTGCATGGTAGGCAATTACTCTACCACTGTAATACAGTGGTGGAGTGATATCACCACTGTGATACCTAAAGTGGTAAATTGTATATGCTGGTTTCTCTTCAGATCGCATAAATCTTTCACCTTTTACTAAAGTGGTAAATTCTGATATGTGTGCTTTTAAAAATCTAAAAAAAAAAACAAGACAAAAATCTGAATCCTACTCCCAACTATCTGAATGATCTTTAACAACAGCTCATCTGTACTTCAGGTTTTTCACTGGCTGTGATTTCATTTTATAGACCCATGGAATGAAATGCTAGGTCTATCAAACACTGGTATCATTAACTCTACTTTTTCTAGTTAGCCTTGTGTACAGCTGCTTACCTGAGATGGTGATGTTCTGGGCCCAGATTTTTTTTTTCCCCCAGATTAATAATTTATCTCTAGAAATTACTTACACTAACTACTGGGTTCTACATCCTTCCCTATGACATCTTTTCCCTTTTATTTCCCACAAGGCCCTCTTCTAGATCAGGAAGACTCTGGCATAAACACAGTAACTAGAAAACTTTGACTTTCAGTCAATGAGAGACCACGTATCTGATAGCAATCCCATAAGATCATAATGAGCTATATTATCACATAGTGACATCACAGCCGTCCTAATGTTACAGCACAATGCATTATGTGTTTGTGGTGATACTGGTGTAAACCAACCCACCCCATTGCCAGTCATATGAAATTATAGCATGCAGTACATAATACTTGATAATGATAATAAATGATTATGTTATTGGTTTATGTATTTGCTATATATCTTTTGTCAGAATGTATTCCTACTTATAAAAAAATTACCATGAAACAGTATGCTATGCCATGCCAGCAGCAACCACATATCATACATCTCATGTTTACCAAGTTTCTTGATTGTATCAAGAGGCCACATCAAGTGACTGACTATACCATGTAGGCTTGTGTAAGTACACACTGATATTCATACAATGATAAAATTGCCTAACAATGTGTTTCTCAGAACATATCCCCAATGTTAAGCAACGTGTGACTATAATTAAGTTTAGATGTGTTCATGAGGATGAGAACTCCTGATGGAATTAGTGTTCTTAAGTAGAGGAAGAAAGACCAGAGTGCTTATGCACTCCATCTTCACAACTACCTCCTGCTGTGAGGGCATAAAGGGATGGCAGCCATTTGCAGGGCCCTTGTTGGGAACCAGATACCTTGATTTTGGACTTCCCAGTTCTTCCAGAACTGTGAGAAAAAGATAGCTGTTGTCCAAGTCCCCTAGCCTGTGGTTTTTTATCATAGCAGCGTAAGCAGACTAACATACAGCATTAAGGGCTAGAGGTATAGCCCAAAAGGTAGAGTGCCTGCCTAAGCAAGTAAAATTCTCTGAGTTCAGGCCTCAGTACCACCAAAAAATGTCTTAATGACAAATAATTCACTTATCTGTTGAGGTGGGGGCATGGATCAAGTGGTACAGTATCTGCTAAGCAAGCTCAAGACCTTGAGTTCATACACCAGTACCAGCAAAAAAAGAAAAAGAATATGTTTTAAAAATTCTTATCTGTTGAACATATATTGACATATTTATAAATAATGATATATAAGGATGTCTGTATATACTCTGAAGTACTATAGCCAAAATAAGTTATGGGTAGTAAATAAGAAGCAAGATTGGAAAAGTTTGATAGTTATTGAAGCTGACTGATGGGTATGTGAGGATTTGTTACTGTTCTCTCCACTTTTGTGTATGTTTGAAAATTTTCATAAGCGGTTAAAAAATGTTTATCCTAAGGGGAATGCGAGAGGAGGAAAATGAATAGGCCGCAGAAATGCTATTAGGTTTTCCTTGCTTTAAAAAACAGCCATGAATACCTTTCTGCAATGAAGTCTGACTTGATTCATCTTGTGTATTGCCTTTTTGAGCATTCACTAGATCTGCAACCAGAACCTCAAGTGATGAATAGTTGCTCCCAGATGTCTGAATTTTTTCCTCCATTATTTTCTTAACGTCCTTGAAACTGAATCCCATTCGTATGGCTTCTTGTACCATAGGATTCTGGAAGATAGTGTCATCTGAAATGAAAATGGGGAGGAAAAGAACATATTTGAAACAAGTAGTTTCATTAATACAACTCAACAGCAAAATAGTTTTAAAAAATTATGCATTAGTTCAAACTCCAGTCCCACCAAAAAAAAAAAAAGCAGACAAAAACTTATGCAGCAAATTGGACATGGTGCTGCATGTCTGTGAGGCCAACACTCAGGAGTCTGAGGCAGGAGAATTGTTGAGCTTGAGACCAACCTGGGCTATATATAGTGAACCCTTGTCTCAAAAAAAAAAACAAAACACTCAAAAAAAATCTTAAACTGGCAGAGTGGCTCAAGTGGTAGAGCGCCTGCCTAGCAAGCGTGAAACCCTGAGTTCAAACCCCAGTACCACCAAAAAACAATCTTAAGCAGCAAGCAAAAACACTAAAACTTACTAAATCAAAGTTATTTCTGGAGGAAGAATTCTTTTTTTGGTGTGACTGAGGTTTGAATTCAGGGTTTTGCACTCGCAAAGCTGGCACTCTACCACTTGAGCCACACCTCCAGTGCATTTTACTCTGGTTATTTTAGAGATGGAGTCTTGCAAACTATTTGCCTAGGCTGGCCTCAAGAGCCTTCCAATCTCAGCTTCACAACTAGCTAGAATTATAGGTGCAAGCATCTGGTGTCCGGCAGGAGGAAGAAATTTTTGAAATAGTCAGTGAAGAAAAAAATTCAAGATTAGGACTTTATGAAGAATGAAATTATGCTATTTGCAGGAAAAGGATGGAACTGGAGACCATTATGTTGAGCAACATAAGTCAAGCTCATGAAGAATGAAATTATGCTATTTGCAGGAAAAGGATGGAACTGGAGACCATTATGTTGAGCAACATAAGTCAAGCTCAAAAGCCTAATATCATATGTTTTCTCTGATATGTAGAATCTAGACCTAAAATGGTAATAATAATAATAATAATAATAATAATGGGACATGAGTGTAAAAGGGGAACTGTTGGGAGGGGGGAGGGAGAAGATACTGGGAAGAGGAATACATACATACATATATATATATATATATATATATATATATATATGTATATATAAAGATAGCATAATTAAACCCACCAAATACAGTTTGAAAAGGGGAGAAAGAGGGGGATTAAAAGAACTCTTAAGTTATCACAATGAAAGCCACTTGTACTATTAATGTATGCTAATAAAAAAGATTAGGGCTTTAAAGACTGTGATAGGACTGGGGATATAGCTGAGAGGTAGAGTGCTTGCCTAGTTTGCAGGAGGCCCTGGGTTTCATCCTTAGCACTGCAAAAGAGAGAAAGACAGAGAGAGGGCAAACACAAGCAAGACTGACTGATATGGACAGTGTAGATAAGGCAAAACAGGTAAGAAAAGAGTTAAGTACCTCAAAACTCTGAATTTTTTTTTAAATCAGTTTTACTCATTAACGACTAACCTAAAGTACTTAAAAAAGTGGATCTTGTTGTGAAGTCAAGCACAATTATTTTCAAAAAAAAATCATGAGAAATCAGGGGAAGTGCCAGTCTTGTGATTTTGCGTGTATCAGTTTCCTAGCTCTTAAAGTTAGTTTCTGCTACTTAGGGGGTTGGACTACATTACACACGAAAGTCAATACAAATTCACTTTTATGATATTCAAAGTAGGATACAGGCTTAGACAGGAGTCTTGTACTCTGACTCATCAATTCCACTCTTGGGTATTAAAAATGAGTGTGTATCTCTGCCAAAGACATGCACAAGAATATCCATAACAGTGTTATTTATAACTGGAAACAACTCAAATGTCCATCATCAGGTTAGTGGATAAATAAATTGGAGTATATTTAAAGACTACACAGAAAAAAAGAATAAACTACTGCTTATCACAGATCCAATGAGAATAACATCATAATGATGAACCAGACACAAAAGAGTACATACTACATGATTCCATTTGTAAGTAAAAAAGTAAATCAGTGTTAATACACAAAATTAAAATTAATCTATGATAATAGAGGCCATTCAGGGCCTTGTGCATGCTAGGCATGGGCTCTAACACTGAGCCACATCCCCAGTCCTCACTAAACATTTTCTAAAAGAGAGGAGACACATAGGGATTTGATTATGGAGAATATTGGTAGATAACAAAAGTAAATTAAGATTTGTGTTTAATAAAGAAAAACTCTGTAGGGAGGTTATAATACAGAAAAAAAGACCAGTTAGGATAGCAATTTAATAGTCCTGTGAAAAGTAAGGGCCTGAACTAAAGAATCATCAGTAAGAAGGAGGAAGATTTCAGACAATATTAAAAAAGTATAATCCATCAGACCTGGTCACTAATTAAATGTAGAAGGATTAAGGAGAGCAAATTGCTGAGGATGACCCAAATTACTGGGTGACCTTGTAAACCCAATGATATCATTAACTTAACGTAGGAGAGAAAAGAGCAGGACTGGATTCAGTCTGAGCAGGTTTTAGAAGTGCTGAATTTGTAATGCTTTTAGGATTTCTATCAGAGGGCAGCTGGACACCGCTCTTGTCTTTCTCTCCTATTTCTAACTTGTTTGTTTTTGCAGTTCATTTTGCTGGCACCTTTACTTATGCCTACCTGATTACATGTGGTGGTTCCTTTCCCTCACTTTTTAAGTGATCTTTCCAGGCACTTTATTTTACTTTATGGTGGCACTGGGGTTTGAACTCAGGGTCTTGCACTTGCTAGCCAGGTGCACTACCACTTGAGCAATGTCCCCAACCTTTTTTTTTTTTTTTTGCTTTAGTTATTTTTCAGAAGGGTCCTGCATTTTTTTTTGCCTGGGTTCAGCCTTAGATCATGATCTTCCCACTTATACCTCCCAGTAGCTAGAATCACAGGCATGTATACCTGTTGACTGAGATGGGATCTTGCCAACTTTTTGCCTGGGCTGGCATTAAACTAAGATCTCCTTATTCCCACCTCTCAAACAGCTGGGATTACAGGCAAGCCACACATCCAGCTGTCTCCAGGCACTTTATATGAGTACCAGGTTTTAATATCCTTCTACTTAGATATCTTACAGGTATCTAGAACTCAACTTGCTAAAAACCAAGAGTGGGGACAACTGGATATCATGAAAAAGAATGAAAAACTCCTGCTTGACACCACATACAAAAATTAATTCAAACTGGATCAAAGACTTAAAAAGGGCTGGTGGAGTGGCCCAAGGTGTGGGCCCTGAGTTCAAACCCTAATACTGTAAAAAAAATTAAATAGTTGGAATTTCAAAGGACATCAAGAGAAAAGATAATCCACAGTGAGAAAAAATATTTACAAAGCATATATTTGACAGAACTTACATATTTATGTATATAAAGAAACATAATATGTAATGAGCTCTTTCAACTCAGTAATAAAGATAAACCAACTAAAAGATGTTCAAAGGAGATGAACATTTTCTCAAAGAAAACTGGCAAATAAGCACATGAAAAGATGTTCAACATCATTAGCCATGAAAGAAATGAAAAACAAAACCAAAATGAGATACCGTATTTACCCACTAGAATGGGTACAAGGAAAGACAATAGTAAGTTTAACAATGATGTGGAGAAACTGGAACCCCTTTACACTGCTGATGGGAATGCCAAATTGTTCAGGCACGTTGGAAAACTATCTTGTAGTTCATTAAAAGGTTAAACAGAGTTACCACATGACCCAGCAATTCCAACCCTAGACATATATACCCAAGAGAATTAAAAACATATATCTAAGCCAGGCGTGGTAGTATAAACCTGAAATTCCAGCAAGAATCTGAGACTGGAGGGTGTGAATTCAAGGGCAGCCTGGGCTACATAGATAGACCCTGTCTCAAAAACAAACAAGCATGTCTACACAAAAACTTGCACACAAATATTCACAGCAGCGTGATTCATAACAGCCAAAATGTAGAAAACAGCCAAATGTCTATCAACTGACAAGTGGATGAACAAAATGTGATTATCCATATAATGGAGTACTTTTCATCATAAAAAATTTTAAATGAAGTACTTATATATTCTATAAGAAGGATGAAGCTTAAGGCCACATATTGCATGATTCTATTTATCTTAAATGTCCAAAATAGCCAAAACCATACAGACAAAAAGTAGATTCGTAGTTGTCTGGGCCTGGCAGTAGGGAAATATGGCTCAGTGGTACACAGACTGCTGTGGGTGGGTATGGAGTTTCTTTCTGGGGTGATGGCAATATTACCCAATTAAATAGAGTGATGGTTACATAATCTAGTGGCTATACCAAAACTGCTCAATTGTACACTTTATAAAGGTGAAATTTATGTTATGTGAATTATATTTCAATTTAAAAACATTAATCTGAACCAAGAGTCTCATTAGTCATAAATAGTATGCATTGTAAAGATTAATAAATGTTACAGAATCTGTTCTCTTTTTTTTCCTTTTGCAGTGCTGGGGATTCAACTCACGGCCTTGGGCATACTATGGAAGTGTTCTATCACTGAGCCATATTTCCGACCCTGGAATCTTTGTTTCTGAATAACTTTTAAAAGATTAGTTTAGTCCCACTGCAAAATCCATACAAAATAATATCAAAGTATTTCTCCTTCTCAAACATATTTATAAATATACATAGTATTCTTGTAATCCTTAAGATACTAAACAGATGATGCTTTAAGCCTAGGGAGTGGGGAATCACCAGACATAGTCTAAATTAAACTTTCTATTTTTGAAATATGCTGCTTAAACTGAAAATGAGATCTAAACTGTGGTACAGGATTCAGAAGACCTTGTTTACACTTTTAGCTATATTAGCAATTTATAATGCAACAATGGGGGAGGTCACTTAAACTTACTTCCTCATCTGAAAAGTGGGGATAACACTATATTCTTTACCTGGGTGTAGTGGTACATATCTGCAATCCCAGCATTCAGGAGGTTGAGATAGGAGGATTCCAAGTTTACGACCAGTCTGGGCTACAGAGCGAGACCCTATCTCAAAAGAAAAAGTCGTATCTTCTGTGCTTAACATAGAATCTTTCTCTGCCTACTTTATGTTTTTTGTTTGTTTGTTTTTATAGTCCTGCGGATTCAACCCCTGACCTCATGCATGATAGGCAAGCTACATCCCCAGCCCATTACCTCCTGTTTTTTCAAGAAGTCTATGAGTTAAACAATTGTGATATAAATCTCTACCTCTCCCTGAGATAAGAGGAAATGAACAAACTAAATATTACCCTTCTAAAGAAACTGGAGCAGACTTAAGTAAGGACAGCCTGGGTTAGGGATAATCGTGGAAATGGCACATTAGTACAACAGTGGATTCATCATTCTGGCTTAATTAAGGAGCTCCATGGACAAAGCTAATTTCATCCTTTCCTTTGCAACTTTAACAGAAATAGGGATGAGGCAACAATGAATCCTGACAACTCCTGAACAAGGAAAAACTGTCTAATGGCTATACTAATATCCTTTTTTTTGGGGTGGGACTGGGTTTTTGTTTTGCTTTGTTTTGTTTTTGCAGTACTGGGGATTGAATCCAGGGCCTTCTGCATGCTAGGCAAACATTCAACTACTGGGCTACATCCCCAGCCCGGGACTGGGGTTTGAACTCAGGGATACTGCTTGAGCCACAATTCCACTCCTAAATAGCCTTTAAAAACTGATGTATTGTTTATTTATTTATGTATGTCTATATTTACATATGTATTTATTTATTTTAGAAGTACTGGGGTTTGAACTCAAGGCCTCATACTCGCTAAGCGGGTGTTCTACCACTCAAGTCACAGCCCCAGCCTTTTTTGCTTTAGTTATTTTTCGAATAGTCTTGTGTTTTTCCCCCAAGGCTGTCCTGGACTGCAATCCTAGTTTTGCCTCTTGTGATGACAGGCACACACCACCATGCCCTGCTTATTGATTGAGATGGTGTTGCTAACTTTTTACCCAGGCTGGCCATGAATTGTTCAGTAGTGGGGACTGAACCCAAGGCCTCGAGCATGCTCTACCACACTGGCCACGTCCCTAGCCCTTAGAACTAATTTTTATTTTTTAGAGACAACAGCCTTGTTGCCCAGGCTGTCATTTTTTGTTTGTTTGGTGGGACTGGGGTTTGAACTCAGGGCTTTGCACTCACAAAACAGGCACTCTACCACTTAAGCCATGCCTCCAGTCCATTTTGCTCTGGTTATTTTGGAGATGGGATTTCCCAAACTATTTGTTTGGGCTGGCCTTGAACTGTAATCTTCCGGATCTCAGCCTTCCAAGTAGCTAGGATTATAGAGATGAACCACTGGCATCCAAGAACCCAGTCTATCTTTGAATTCCAAGACTCAAGTGATCTTCCTGCCTTAGCCTCGAGTAGCAAGGACTACAGATGTGAGCCACTGCATCCAGCTCATACTTACATTCTTCTTTTGTTTTTGAGACAGGGTTTAGCTACATAGCCCAGGTTGGACTCAAACTTGGCAATCCTCCTGCTTTAGCCCCCTGTGTGCTGGGATTACAGGCATGTGTCACCACATCTAGCTTTGTACTAACAGTATTTTTTCCATTTCTTTTCAAGTGGTAGAGATGGAACTTGGAGCTTTGCACATGCTAGGCAGGTTACATGCCTTGCCTAGCCTTGTACTAACATTCTTTTTTTAAATTTTTTTGTGGGACTGGGGTTTGAACTCAGGGCTTCATACCCTGAGTTGTAAAGCAGGTACTCTGCCACTTGAGCTATACCTCCAATCCATTTTGCTTTTGTTATTTTGGAGATGGGGGTCTTGAAAACTATTTGCCTGGGCTGCCTCGAACAGTGATCCTCCCAAACAGCTAGGATTACAGGCATGAGCCACTGGTGCCAGGCCTAACATTCTTTTTTTAAAATTGTTTATAGAAATTTATTTAAACTGTTGGTTTAGTCTTCTGTCCCAGAGCATCCATCCAGTTGCCTTTCAAAGATTAAGCTGCCAAGTTTGCTGCTGCCATAGAAACCTTTGCATTTATCAGGGTAGCAGTGCTGTCTACCTATTTGAAGATTTTTAAAAAACCCACTGCATTTCTCCAACTGAATTCTTTGGTGTCTAAGCAGGACTCTTGCCCTGTCTCTACATCCCAAGTAGATGTGACTAACTACAGGTGCATTCTACCACAGCAAGTTCCATCTTGAATCCATAACTCTTTGCTTAAATCTTGTACTGTGCACCGTCAAGCTTCCTCTTCATACCTTTATTAAAAAGGTATCCTCAATCTAGACCCAAACAGCTGTCCAGACTAAAATTTGCACCCAGTAGTTGAAAAATATAACAGGTCCTGACAATTCATCTGTTTTCTCTATTTCAACTTCTGGTTATGCAGTGCACGTGTGCCCATGAGATTGGCTTGCTCTTTAGTACCTCACTCAGTTCTCACCTCCCTTTGGCACTTAGCTGTCCATAAAATGCCATCATCAAAATCCACATTGCATCCATTCCTCAGCACCAATCCTAATACAATGAAACTCCAAACCCCGAAAGGCCTAACATTCTTAATATAGAAATATTTGACTTAAACTAATAAGCATTTCACTAAAATTTTAAGCCTATAGCAATCTCATCTGTAATAAACATATTAACTTTGAAAAACTGTGCTTATTTTTTCACCTCACAAATAACTATAATAAAGTGTTATCAAAATTAGAATTATAGTTTTACGTAAGTATATTTACCAATTCTTTGAGTTAGTGATGGTGTTTTTTCAGCAGTTCTGACCTAAAATAGAAATATGAATTGTAAGCAAGAATTCTTTTTGGTAGAAAGCAATTACCTCAATTTGAAAATTCACATTAATCAAAAATTTGAAATAAATTAGCTTTATTCTAATTCAAAATATGAATATTAGTAAGAGGCATTGCTCAATTGAAGAGAAGGAAGTTAAACAATTATCTAATCCAATCTCATCACTTTACAGACAAGAAGCTGAGGTCCATGGAGATTAAATGTTCAGTGTTCTTTCCACAGTTTACTAATGCCTTGGCCACCCCAGTTGATCCTATCAATTTAAGTACATTTTTGAGATTTCAAATATTGTCTGCAAAAAGGTGAAAACTATTTAGGAATGAAAAGTATATTATACACAAAGTTCTAGAAGGCTAAGAATGGAATTCAGTATTTTAATTCTTCAACCTCTTTTTGCCTGTCGTGAAACTTAAATCAGTTCATCCTGATCCCCTTTTCACACATTTGCTTCAAGTTAAGAGTAGGATCCTTTCTGCTTCTGCCTCATAGCTGGCCCATCACAGCTGTTTATAACTTTTTTCCCCTAACCTTTAATAAAATTTTATTATCACCATCCACCAAAAAAAAGAGTAGGAAGTTCTCTTCAAGTTTTAAAGTTCACGTTACCTTATTAACTTACAATACTATACTGTAAATTTTACATGAAGAAATAATTATAAAACAAATGACATAGTAATTGAAAATATATATTATACATTATGGGACTTACCAGAGACTCTTCGAGTGAATGGGTTAAATGAATATTGTTTATGTATTCTTGTCCCTTCTCTTCCAATAGATATTTACACCTAAACAATAAAAGATTAACTTTTAGTAGCAGATAAATAAGTAACATTTTAGTAAAAATATAATCTCAATCACATTAACTTGCTTTCTGTTATTTCTAAAGAGCCACAAAGTAAAATTCTATTCAATTCCCTATTCAAGTATAATTTTAAGGTTTAAAAACTGCTCCTTTTGTCATGCTATTTATGCTAATGTTAACAGGTCAAAAAAATACCCCAGCAATTTGAGAACTTAACTTTTAAGCAAGAGTTATTAAATTAGCACCTTGACATTTTTTTTAAAGTTAAAAGTAGTTAATCTTATCAGGTTTGATTTAGATTAGCCAATTGTACATTTAAATGTCTTCATTTTCAATCATTCTTTTTACGGTTGTTTAAGGCTGAGATGTCTTTTCAAATGATCATTCTGAAGTTTTAAGTTGTACTATTTTGTAGGCCAGAAATTTCACCATTATTTGTACACCTATTTTATTTTAAAGAGGCAAAATAGCAAAGACACATTTAGGGTATGTCATCATTCTAAGATGCCACTGATTATAAGAAGCATATAATTATTTTCTGTACCATATAAAACTGCAGCCAATTAAATTATGACCCACTGCCAGATGTGTTCTGATTTCAGAGATGTCAAAATGTAAACAACTGTGTGTCTTAAAAATCAGTAAGATATATTATGATGGCTTCTTCAGGATTCCTCTTGGCACCATGGGTGCTCTCATACCCATCATAGAAAAGTCAATTTCCAACAAATAAAAAAGTGTATTTTTTCTAATTTGGTGTGTAGACATGGAACCTTCTGTCATAGATACATAAGCACTGAATGTTGGGCTGGTGGAGTGGCTCAAGTGGTAGAGTACTTGCCTAGCAAGCATGAGGCCATGAGTTCAAACCCCAGCACTGCAAAAAAAAAAAGCAGTAAATGCTTTGGTTATCAGAGAAGGCTTAGGTGTCTTTTTTTCCTATAAAGTACATGACCCCATTTTTATAAAAATTCAAGTGCGAATTTCAAGCCATAGTGAAGGCAAAAATAGTTGAGGTGAAAAATAATTCAAGTCTTCCCACTGTATACTTTCCAACTTGCAGGATACTGAATGAACAATTGAATATCTTACCCTGGATACCACTTAGCATGTTGTTCCCAAGGGTCTTCACTGGGCTTCCAATCAGTTAGCCCTCCTCCACAGTGAAAGCACTTCACTTTATCACCTTGACCTAAGAAGACATTTAAGTAAACATATATGTATTTGTGCAATTAGAAGTTTACACAAAAACACCCATTCTCACATCTAAAAATTAAACATGTCTAAATTACATAAAATCTCATAACTTAACAGAAGACATCTATATTTGTATCTGAGTAATAGATATGATCTTTATCATTTGAGGAGGAAATACACACTAAATTCACAGACTCAAGTTGATGTATTTTACAAAAGACAACTAAAATTGAACAATTTTTATTTTAAAATCTACAACTGTTACATTGTAACATATGTCATCTGGGCCATCAAAATTATACTAACTTTACCAAACTGTGAAACTTAATTTTTTTTTTTTGGTGGGACTGGGGTTTGAACTCTGGGCTTCATGCTTGTAAAGCAAGTACTCAAAACTAGGCACTCTACTGCTTGAGCCACACCTCCAGTCCATTTTGATCTGGTTATTTTAGATACAGGATCTTGTGAACTATTTGCCCAGGACCTCAAACAGTGATCCTCCCAGTCTCAGCCTCCCAAAGTAGCTAGGATTACAGGCGTGAGCCACCAGCCCCGAGCTTCAGACTGTGAAACTTTAAAAACAAGTTATGTTTGAAGCATTAATAACAATGAAGATCAGCATAATGAAATTATAAGTTTCTTGAAGCTCAGCTTCAAGAAACTAAACAAACTTTCGAGGTCACTATATGATGCTATATAAATGCAAAACTTTGAAATAACTGGTGTATCTCATTTTGGCATTATTTAATCCTAAAATAAATGAGTCAGATATATATTTTTAAAATATTCCTGGAAGCCATCACACAAATGGCCTTCTCTGATACATCTACAGCATCTCTTTGAAAAACACTCTTTGAAGCAGCAGTAAGATATAATACAGGGCAGCTTTAAAATATATAGTCTATGTAGTAAAGGTAAATGCTAATTTTAATGTGAGCCAAACTAAACTCTCTAATGTTAAGTCTTTTTTTTTTCTACTGGGGTTTGAATTCACAGCCTCATACTTCCTAGGCAGGCACTCTATAGCAGTTGAGCCACTCCACCAGTCATCTAATGTTAACTCTTTTTATATGGTTTTGTGAGGCTTAGAGAAAATGCGTGATATATATACACACATATATTAGACCCATTTTTCTACCAGTGATATCTATATTTTGTATGTCATCCTTCTCCTCAAAACAATTACATGAACATAAACATTGCTCAAATTCAATATAAAAGTTCTAAGAATAATACTGGTAAATATTTGTGCCAGCTTCTACCTAAATATCTACCAGTTGAGGGGGTTAAAAACATTTATTTATGTTTCAGGAGACCTGGGATAGCTGGAAAGTTATTTATTGGTTAAGTTTACCTAAAGCATAAAATCCAGCTCTTGCAAGCTGCTCCTTGTTAACTGAGTATATCCACATCCCAAAAGTAACGATCCGAGCTTCATACTCTGCCATGGCTGGATTTCTTGGAAGATTTGTTGAATTTGGGAAATTCCTATCAGAGCTTACAATATCAGATTCACTTCGAATATTAACATTCCGGCCCAAAACAAAGAAGCAATTAGGAAAGTGTCGCCTGTGTTCTGACCAGGCACGATCACAAGGTTCCCAATTTTTCAGTTTTCCACCACAACAAAAGCACTGCACTTGATCGTCAACACCTGTGTAGTAGAGTCCAGCACTAGCTAACTCTCTGGGGGTTAAGTGGGCATAGTCTGGCCAGTTCTGAAATGACTTTAATCTAGCTTCTTCACTACACATAGCAGGATTCCTTGGGTATATAGTGTCTGAGATATCTACAACCTGTCCAGTTCTCAAAAGATAGTCTGCATGAGTCTCAGATGGTCTGTCTAGAGCAAAATGATTCCTGCTTCCCAGATGGTTTTCAGTTTTGTATTGACCATTTTGGACACCAGGATTTGTAGATTGTGCAGCACTGTTTTCAAAATAAAACCCATTGATAAATCTGCAATTTGGGGATACTTTCCTGTGTCTTCCAACTGCTGAGTCTCCATATTGCCATCTATCTACTGCTGCATGACAACTAAAGCAACGCACAGTATCTCCTTCACCAGTATAAAGAAAACCTGCTCGTGCCAGTGTTGATGCTGAAACAGGACTGCTACTTGGAAAATTAGCAAAAGTTTTTAATCTATTAAACTCTTCTACAAATTCTTCATCTTTATTGATGTCTGCAGGTACACAAGTTTTAGATCCTTCAAAACTGTTAAAAGTCATCTTCTCTTGAAAATAGGACTTGTCCACCTTTTCTAAAAAGAGAACATTATATTAGGACATCCAAAATGTGAAACATAAGCAAAATACTTTTGATATTAGGAACTAACAAATTACCCATTAATGATATAAAATAACGGTACAATCACTAAGACACATTCTAACTCCAAACACTACAGTTCTACTTTATTTTACATATTATTTTAATAATATATATATATACATATATATATACACATATATATGTGTATATATATATATATATGTATACATACACACTACCCACTAGAGAATGGCTCAGGAAACATTCTAGGTATTTGCAGATCTTAACTGCAGTTACTCTTGCTATCAACTTTCATTGGTTAAGGAACAATCTGTTCAACTAGAAGAGATTTAGCAGCCTCATTAGAGCTGCCAAATTATAGCTCACTGTTTGACCCAGCTAAATACTAAAAAAAAAGTCAATTGGGTTAGAATAAAGGTGGTAAGATAATTTATCCTCCAAACCTAGATACTTTTGAAAATGAAAAATGATGCTAGTAATAATTATATGGGGACCACAGGCATAAATCAGGAAAATCACAGCACATGGTCAAATGTTTAGCTATGAGACAAACCCCGTTATTCAGAATCCCCTACATTGCCTATTATTTTGTGTAGTCTGTTGTCAAATATAAAATAAAAGAATGGTTACAACTCAATAGCAAAAATCAAATAATCTGATTAAAAGTGGGCATATGCCCGAAATCAGTATTTCTCAAAAGATGATAAAATAGCCAACAAGCATATGAAAACACGTTAAGATCACTAATCATAAGGGAAATGCAAATCAAACCTGTTATGATGGTTATTATCTAAAAGTCAAAAAACATAACCAAAATCAAAACAAAAAATGCTGGTGAAGATGTGGAGTAAGGGGGAATTCTCATACAGCGCTGGTAGGAATGTAAACTAGTATGGCCATTATGAGAAACAGCATGGAGGTTCCCACAAAAACTACAGACAGATTTATACTTGATCTAGTATCCCACCACCAGGTATCTATTCAAAGGACCAAAACAAGTATGTCAAAGAGACATCTGTACTTATATTTCTTACAGCACTGTTCACAACAACCAAGATATAGAATCAATCTAGGTATCAATTGTTGATGAATGGATAAAGAAAATGTGGTATATTTATGCCATAGACTATTTGGCCTTAAAAAGAATGAAATTCTTTCACTGGCAGCAACATGGATAAACTGGAGGACATCATATTAAGTGAAATAAATCAGGCACAGAAAGAGAAATACTACATTTGGAAGCTAAAAGGTTGATCTCATACAAGTAGTACACAGAAAAGCAGTCACCACAGCCTAGCAAGGGTGTTGGGGATGGAGAGAGGGTGGTCAATGACACAGGGGTGCAGATGAATAGAAGGAATAACATTTTTTGAAACAGGGTCTCACTACTTAGCCCAGGCTGGCCTCACACTCATGATTCTCCAGACTTCGCCTCGTAAGTGCTGGGATTGTAAATGCACCACCTCCAGCAGAAGGAGTAACATCTAATGTTTTATCACACAGTAGGATGACCATGGGTGACAAAAATTAACTGAATTATTTGAAAATAGTTAGCAGACAAGTTTTTCAATATTCCCAATGAGAAAAAAAAAAAACAAAACCAGATGTCTGAGATGATATGCCAATTACCTTGATCTAATTATTATACACTGTATACATGTAGTTAAAGTCCACATTGTACCCCATAAATATGTACAATTACTATGTATCAGTTAAAAGTAAAAGTATATTTTTCAAAAAGAATGCACTCAAAAAGAATCTCCAGTTCAGTGGTATTGGTATCATATACACATTAAGCACTGACTTTTATCTTTATACCATAATTTTTAATATAGTCTCCATTGACTTTTGATGATCGTTTTCCAGATGTCTGCAAATATTCTGACAGTAGCTTGAAAGTCCTTTGTTGAATCAGAATAGCCTGGATGACAAAAACCAAGATTCAAAGAAACCAAGGCTAAATGTTAAGCTAGTGAGGTAAAATTTAATGGGGTAAGTGTAAAGTCTTATATTCTGGTTTTAAAAATCTGTTGCACAACTAAGGAAGATAGAGACTTGGTTTGGGATGAAGTCACATGAAGGCAAACCTCCAGATTAAAAACCTTGGGATTTTAGTTAATTAGAAGTTCATTATGAGCCAGCATTACATGGCCACTTAAAAAAAAAATTAAAGCAACTTCAGGCACATTAGTGTCCAGATGTGCAACATCAACATCCAACTCAGCTACATAATGAATGTTATTTCCAGTTCCAAACACATTTTAGTAGGAACATTAACAAAGGTTAATGTCCTTAGAGAGCAATCAAGATAATAAAAATGATATCATATGAGGAACAGCTGGAAGAACTGAGAGTGTTTATTCCAAAAGGAGAAAAATCGTGAAGGGAAGATAGGATAGAATATCCTTAGATAACTTAAGATATCTACTATGTCACGTAGGAAAGGAATCCAAATTCTATATAGCTTGGTGCAGAATTAAGGTGAGTATAATTATAACCAGTACATTTTAACCCCATACAATAAGAACTTTAAAACAATCAAGAGCAATATAAAATGGATTGGGTTGCTCTGAAGACTATAAATTCCACCTATCACTAAAAGGGACATCTGCATGGACTAGGAAAGTAGTAAACATTTTCAATTCTGTAACTATCTTGAAGAATTAATGTTCAATATAAGCTAAACCATATAAAAATTACCTCCCTGAGGAAATAAGTTTCACTTTTGGGATCAAAATCGAAGTATAAAATCAAAGATATATTCTCATAGGTGGGTATTTTGTAAGGTTCAAGTAGTTACCTCATTTCAGATATTAGATGAAACTCCATTATCTCACAGGAGCAGGAGAATCTTTACTTGAAGCTTTCAAGAGACTTCAGCTAGGCATTGTCTCAAAATACAAAGAAAAGGAGGGGAAGGAGGGGAAGAAGAGGGGGAGAAGAGGAGACTTCACCTTCTCAGATTGTTATTTTCATGCTAATAGCTTAGCATGGAAACTGGAAAAGCAGCTATTTATTTAGAAGCATTCAACTGAACAATACATATACATTATGAGTGTAAACTTTAGAGAAGGGGGAGAAAACAATTACCAAAGAGGTTAAAAGTGGAAGATGACTGAGAAACCTGGAGTTGGAGGAAGACAGCAAAAGGAAGGGATGGGAGGTGATAAAGGATCAAAGTTAAATGAAGGTAGGAAAATGATATTGTAGAGAATAAGTATATATAGAGCACAAAATTATGAATATAATAGAAAATGTACTATAACTATTGGAGGAGGGTGATAAAAGGCTTTGGATGTGAAATAATCTGAGTGCAACAAAGCATGCTGAGAAAAGTTAAGGCTTGTCTGTGAAAGTATATTCAGGCTTTGTACTGGGCAAGTGGAAAGGTAGGAAGGCAAGGGAAAAGGATGTCAAAGAAAGCTTTGCCATAAAGGGGGAAGGCAGTTAGAAATCTTGGAGACAACAGTAGCTGGAAAAAACCACTGTGACACAAAGGGACCAGGAAGCAATAGTACATGTTTATATAAGCAGTCTGGAAGATTTTAAGATGGTGATATGTTGTGTTTAAAATACACAGGCACATGCTTTAGCCTAGTTAGTTATAAGAGAGCCATGGGCAGAAGCCAAGGAGAGGGGTAGACTGCTAATCTAGAAAGTAAAAAGGATGAGAAACAGGCAGAGACAAACACAGAAAACTCACCTACCTAAAAACAAACAAACAAACAAAAAAACCAAAAAACCCCCAGAAAGTTGGGGATATAGCTCAATGGTAGAGCAACTGTCTAGCATATACAAAGCCTGAGTTCAATTCCCATCATGGAGTAGAGGGGAGAGGGAAAAGGGTAGGAGAGGAGAGCGAAAACTCACCTACTTGGTATCCACAGACAATAATTTCTATTTCTCCTAATTTTTTATTAAAGTTTTCTAAGATGTAGAATAAAGGTTATTTTGATGGGGATAAGTACATAAAATAGGATTTACACCAGACTGCCACTGCATTAAAATATACTTACCATCAAGACCTGGATAACTATCATAAAGCTGTTTCAACAGCCAACCCACTGTTTGGGATTTTTATACTACAGAAGCAGAAATTGCATCTTTGATACAGGCAAGCTAACAGAGAAAAAACCTATTATAACTGATGCATTTTGCTCTGTCAACAATGGAAAGGCCCTGTCCACTCCTTGGTATGCACCAAAACTTTAGACCTGCGTTTTCTGTTATAGATGTGGTTTTTCTTCCAGAAACTCATCACAGGGCTCACCTTTACAAATATAGCACTAAATATTCCCTAGGACTCTGTATCTGGAATAGTTTCAGCCTAAGGGAGACACCGCATGGTTTAGACAAAGTCCTGGGGATCTTTATATTCTGGCTTATTTCAGATCTGGCTCACAGCACAGGAACATTAGCTGTTAATAATCTTTTTTTTTTTTTTTGGCAGCACTGGGGTTTGAACTCAGGGCCTCATGCTTGCTAGACGGGCACTCTACCACTTGAGTCATGCACTCAGCCTTTTTTGTGTTGTTTTTGAGAGGGGGTCTCACTTTATGCCTGGGGCAACATGGACTGCGATCCTCCTATTTTACTTCCCTTGTAGCTAGGATGACAGGCATATACCACAAGCACAGCCACTGGTTGAGAGGGGTCTTGAGAACTTTTTGCCCCAGCTGGCCTCAAACCACAAATTCTCCCAAGTAGCTAGAATTGTAGATATGAGCCATAGTGCCTGACAATGATAATGTTTTAAAAGTTAAAGATATAGAAATTTCAGTGAAGCATCCTGATCAAGTAACAGACATGATGATTGCAACCAACAGCAACCTCACTGCGACAGTGAGACCAGCAAACCAGCATAACATTGCTGGGAACAGTCAGCCTTCTGGAGGCTCCAGCCAATCTACTGATAGCAGCCTTTTTAGCAATCCAATTAAATTCTGAGTCAAAGAATGAAGACAGTGATGA